TCATGGCATCTAGCATTTCCCCTTGCAATGACGGTATGCTTCACTGGGACGACCTTCGGTTTGGCTGTTGATATCTTGGTGAACTTTCGAGGTTCAGTTCAGATGCCTTCTCCTCCCCCAAGACTGGACTTGGCCACCACATCTGGAAACTATCCTTTTGTAGAAAGTGTTTGATGCCATGAAGCAGACAATATCCATTATCCACCAGCAGGAGGCCCCCACCTATCGAATGTAGTTGAACTTTCTGTGGACTGCCAGCTCCCGAATAATGACATGAGACTTTTTATTAATTATGAAAGCTTGGCCTTATCTTAGGCTTGTTCCCAACTAGCTCTTAGAACTTAAATTAACCCTGTTTATATTAGTCTACACTCTGCCGTGTGGCTTGGTACCTCTCCTCCTTAATGTATGTCAGAACTCCTCCATATCTAGCTGGCGAATCCCCCCTCTCAGATTCTTCTCTCAAATTTCTCCCTCTCCCCAGAAGTCCCACCTGTCTTTTCCTGCCTAGCTATTGGCCAACAGCTCTTTATTAAACCAATTGGAAGGTGCCCTAGACAGGCAAGGGAGGACAGAGTCACATCTTCACACAGTAGCCTGAAAAAGCTGAACTTACCTGTATTGTTATTCTACAAGGTGATGGGCAGCTCCATGGCCACAAGCTTGAGGGCTGTCAGCAGCTGGGGCTACAGTCATTGAAGGAGTACCTGGGGCCACTGGACAATGCCCTTGCCCAAGAGTCTGTTACTAGTAAGGAGTTAAATTATATGACTAGATGGGTGTTGTTTCTTGAGAAGAGTGGTTTGTAAAAGAAACATCTGTGTCAAAAGAGGAGGTTACTACACAACCTGTGACACCTGGATAAGCAAAGGATGGCAGCTGGCTTGCTTTCAGCTCTGGTCCCGGGTCAATGGTCAGGAAACACAAATATCAACAGGAGGATAGCTCTGTTTTTTTCATCTGTGCTTATTTACAAGACAGCCTTCAGTCAGTTCTTTTTGAGAGAGACGGTTCCAAAGAGATAGTCATATTCTCTGTGTGTGTGTCTCTCTTTCTTTTCTCCTGCGTGAACAGTTTGTTCTTTAATTTAGAGTGGTTATGCTTCTGTCCCCCAGTGTTGGGACAAGTGTGCCCCACAACAACAGCTGGTTTCGTTTTGATTTTTTGTTTGTTTTTTTTCTGTTTCAATAGTTTAGAAATGTTAATTTTCTCTTTCCTATATACTTCCTGTTTTGTGATTATGTAATTCCTAAATTATTTTAATTTTAATGTCTGAAAATGTAGTGATCTTCAGTGTGATAACAGGCTTAGAGAGAGCCAAGGTACGAGATATTGGTCAAACCATGCACATTTTCTGTGTATTGCACTGTGCTTTTTAAATTATAATATTTTGGAGTGACATAAACTCAATGCTGTAATTAGAAATGATATTTCAGGATTTGGTGTCTTAGCAAATGTCATTTCAAACAAATGAGAATTACAAAGTTAATGTTTCTCATCAAAAACTACAAAACAAAACAAAACTATGTTGCACTAAAAAAATGCCAATTTTTCAAAAGAAAGAATGGGCCTGCAAATTCTTCAACATTCATCATTTTGTACTTAGTCAAGAGAGAAAAAAACAACCCTCATTCATGGGCATTGAAAACAAAGAATTGTACTCCACTTTTAAAAACCTGGTAATAGCATAATTATGAAGAAGCAGGTAGAACTAATTAGCTTGGGTGTGTTTAGTGAAATTACTTGCCTTCTTCTGGATGAAAGCAAGACACCGAGTCTGGTATTCTGGAGAGTTTTAGCAGCTGCTTTCCCCTCTACTGAACCAGTAAGCATTAAGTACAGCATTAAAATTCCTAGGTTGATTTCCTGCCTTATTCAGCTGGCAGAGAAATGGTTCTTCTTCTCTCAGCAAAATGAGAGACGTAACTCTTTCACCATGGGTAGTGTCAAGCTGCTGGCAATTTTCCAGAAAGCCTGCTCCGGTGTGGTGGGGGGCTTAGAAACTTCCTGTCCCTGGAGCTGGAGAAAGATCTGGTGCCATGACGGTACTGCCTATAGCTTTGTGTCATTTCATCCGGCATTTCTTCAGTTATCCTTCCCTCTTCCCAGGCACTCCAGGATTCCACTGTTTTGTTTTATTTTAAAATGAGTACACTGCTTGTCTACTTGGATATGTCATGGACAGTGTCAGACATACACAGCATTAACAGAGGAGTGTAGTAGCTACTCATGTACCATCCCCCACCTTCACAAAATCTATGGCTAATCATATTTCCTCCAGATTCCCACCTCCCTAAATCCTGTATTTAAAGTAAATTGTAGAAATTTCCATAAATGTGTAATAAGCCATGAAAATTTCAACAAATATCTCTACTAGATAGGTTTTATTTTATTCATCTAATGATGATTATTTGCACATATGACTGTTGCAGATAAAATATAACACAGACTTATCTTCAATTGATAACAAATGGTTTAAGTGTGAATTGAATACGTTCAGTGTAGTGTAAGTATATGTTGTATGCATGTGTGCGCATGTGAATGTGTGTGCATGAGTATACATGTGAATGTGTCTGCATGTGAGTGTGTGTATGTGAATGTGTGTGCATGTGTGAGTGTAGGTACATGTGTGAGTATGTGTTCATGTGAGTGTGTGCATGTGAACGTGTGCATATGTGTGTATACATAAGTCTATATGTGCATGTGAGTGTGTGCATGAGTGTGCATATGTGAATGTGTGTGCATGTATGTATACATGAGTATGTATGTGCGTGTGAGTGTGTGTTTATGCTTATAGGGGAAATGTTGGAGGGAGGGATGTATATCCTAAGAAAAGATGTAATGAAAATAAATTTCTATTTTATTTCATTTATTTTTACTACCATGACATTTGATGTTTTACAGTTTGCCTAGGATCACAACTCCTTGAATTTGGGAGGATTCTTTTTTCCACTTTCTGATTCCTGCTGAGAAGTTTGACCTGTTTGGGTCCTGCTTCTTCCTGTGAGACCTGCTTCACCCTGGAGGCTTTAGAACCCTCTTCCGTCCTTGTCCGTCTGAAGTTCTGTCTAGAATCATCTGCCGAAATAGTGTCTATGAGTTATTCATTGGGCCCTTTTCACCCAGAGACATATTTCCTTCTGTTCTGGGAAGCAGTCTTTCTCTTTTCATCTTCTTTTTTAAAGTACGATTTCTCTTTACTTACAGCATGGCATTGCTACTTGCTGGAAGCCGGATTGCTCCAGTTCTCTTTTTATTGTTTTTTTCCTCCCTTTTCTATTTTTCCTTAGGTCTATAACTCTATTATTCCATCAACTTTTAAAAGCACCTTTGCACATGCATATATGTGTGTGTGTGTGTGTGTGTGTGTGTGTGTGTGTGTGTGTGTGTGTGTAAACCCACATACATGCCACAGCATGTGTGTGGCGGTCAGAGGATAACTTCAGGTGTTGGGCCCCACCTTCAACCTTGTTTAACACGGATCTCTCTCGTCTTCACCCCTGTGCACACCAGGCTAGCTGGCCGGAGTGTTCACAGGTTCTCCTGTCTTTGCCTTCCGTATCTCCCTAAGAGCACTAGGCTTGTGCATAGGTGCACTCCTGTGTCCGCTCTCACACATAGGTGCACTCCTGTGTCTGCTCTCACACATAGGTGCACTCCTGTGTCCGCTCTCACACATAGGTGCACTCCTGTGTCCGCTCTCACACATAGGTGCACTCCTGTGTCTGCTCTCACACATAGGTGCACTCCTGTGTCCGCTCTCACACATAGGTGCACTCCTGTGTCCGCTCTCACGTGGGTTCTAGGGATCTGAACTCAGGCTGGCAAGTGTGTGCTGCCTTCTCGTTTCTCACTGAACCATCTCCCTAGCCCCCACGAACTGCTTTTCAGTTCAGCTATCATTGCTTTAATTCCCGAGAAATATTCCTCAATTCTCTTACTGTTACCACTCAATGGACTATAGTTCTATCATTGGAATGCCTCTCCAGTCTTTCTTCTGAGGGTGGTAACCAGCTTTCCATGTGCTTAGTTAGGCTGGCTTTACTTTCGGCTCCTTCAGTGGAAGTTCACATAATAGCTGCCACTTTGGGTTGTGGTGATTGAACTGACCGAGAAACCTGTGCCAAGTGTGGAGAACTGTGTCTGCATGGATAAGAGCTCAATATTTTATGTTGATTTTCCACCAGTCTGGAGATTTACATTCATGTATCACCTTGAAATCCCTTAAAAAATAAGCAGAGGGTTGAACCTTTTCCGGCTAAAATAATGACAAATATAAAAGGCTTGTGTTGTAAGAAAACTGAGAAGATTTTCTGTTGAAGAATTTTTTTGTCCTTGCATCTGTTTTGGTTGGTTTTGAGAAGCAGCCCAAATATTATGGTAGGAAAATAGAGGTCCTCCTGAAGTTTGTGAACTACTCAAGTTTGATGTATATAGCACTGTAAGTTAAAGAAAATTCCAGTTGTTCTTCATAGTAACAATTCTCTCCAGTTTTTTATTCTCTGACTTTTTTTCCATAGTCAGAAGAGCTTGATAGCCCAGGGTTGCTAATAATTTACAGCCTATTTTATGTGTGTGACAACCTGCAATTGGAGCAGATAAATGAGTGTGTGCTCTGCTGGTGAACATTACCCTGTGCATAGTTGTGGGGGCAAGTTGAGGTTGCTGTGACTTCAGGTACCTGAGTTCACATGAGGGAATGGAAGCTCTAACCAGGGATCGCGATGGTCATCTGAGATCATATTAGTGACTTAATGGGGGAGGCCTTCAGAGTATTTCTACCATTCCTGTGTATGCTGACAAGTGTCTGTCACTGGGTCACATCCCTCCCTTTTCTTACACTGTGATTCTGCTAAGAGGACCAGACTAGCTGCGTTTCTATTTTTAAGTTGTTTTTCTTGATTTATATATGCTCTTGTATTTGCTTTTAAGTGAACCACAATTTGTTCTAAGAGGCCCTGTCATCAGTACCATAGATTCTTTGAATGTCTTCAGGACCACATTTTTCTCTTATATGTATTAATAATCATATTGATGAACAGTGACTTCTGGGTTGCAAAAGCAACTTTATTCTTGTGTCTCTCTTTATGTCCCTGTCAACTAGTTCAACACAAACACACACACAAGTGCTCCTGACTTAGAGTCATTTACCTTTTAGTTTTAAGGATGCATACAAGGTAATTAGCTTCATTATGGCATTTTCATATTTATGTCATCATACTTGGCTCTATTCTTCTCTCCTCCCAACCCCCCAACAGTCCCCCCACCTCTTGTTAATCTTCTCCCCAATAAAATCATAAGAATTCCAAGTTGATGTTTTTCTAGTGAGTCTGATCAAGGTAGATACAATTTTTGAACCAGATATTCATTAATACATTCATTCATTTGACAATATATTGACAGCTATTCTTCGTATAACCTGAGATTTACTTTGATATTGTCAGACTAGATGAACTACTTTTATTTTCTGTATCTTGAGTGTTCTTGTTTCAAATGAACTCAACAACAAAAGAACAAAGAAGAAATCCAAACTCCAAAAGAATCTTACCAATTCATTGCTAGAGATAGTAATTGAGATGCTTTCAGAATTAGAGTTCACTTAAAAGATGTTATTGGATTTCTAGGCAAGAACAAAGACCACTTTGGGATCAGTATCAGTTTTTATAGGGAAATATAAATGCAAATCAACCTTATTCATTTTATGGGCAATTTTGTATCTTTCTACAGTACATGGAAACCATCCATAAACTTGCCAATGACTTGCCATCCTGTTACACTAAAATTGATGTAAATATCAGTTTATCCAGACGAGGCTACTAATTCACCAGCACAGTGTCCCATTTATATCAGACATATAGAAGCCACACTGTTGGAACAACAGAGAACCCTTTATAATATGGTGATCCAAATAGTCAAAGGCTATTGACTTTTTAAAGTAGTCATGGCAATTTTCAAGCATACACAAAGGCCGTTTGATGAATTCCATCTACCCACAGCCAGTTTTAACTGTTAACAACCCACTGCCACTCTTGAGTCTATTCCCTTTTCTCTCTCATACTGAATTATCTTAAACAAATCCAGGACAGCCTACTATTGCCTTGGAAAAATATTTCATTATCGTTTTCTGAAAGAACCCTGTTTTTCATCTTTATAATGTCATTATTGCACCTAAAACAATATTAACAATTGTTGCTTAAAATCATGCTGTCAGTGTATGATTGACTATGATTGCCTTATAAATGCCCTTGATGATTGTTTTGTGAAAACAGAGTCCAAATAATTGCATATATAGTCTGCAGTTGCCCTATTCCTTTAGACTACTTTACTGTAAAGTTCTCTTGCCTCTCTTTTTAATGCACATTTTAAACATTCAATTTCTTTGTTGAAAGGGCCAGTATGAATTTTTCTGAGGGGAAAAAAATCCCCACTCCTGATCTTGATGATTGTATCCCCACGGCACCATCTTACGTATTCTGCAGCTGTAGTTCCTGTAGCCAGGCATAGACTTTTGACGAAATACAGGCTTCTCTCCGACACGAAAGCAGATCCACGGATGGAGCTGTGCATTTCCTTCGCATCCCGTCATGGGACACAGAGGGTCTGCTGTGTTCTTGATGCAGAGACTGAGCCCAGGGTCCAGCTGCCAGCACCCCTGAGCTAGCGACTCTCGAGTTTCCCACTGGCTTTTCTCCTCACAGCTTTAGCAGCCGCTAATGAGTTTGGCCTTGCTCCACTGTGGCTCTAGGCTTCTGAATTTAGAAGACTTCACCTATTCCAGCCTCCCACCCTGGGTGTATTCTGGTATCTTGCTTGTTTGTTTCCTTGCATAGTCTATAATGGCCTGCGTTTATTTCATGGAACAAAATCCTGTCAGTGACACTGTGAGAAGAGGCTCCCTGAGCTGGGAAACACTAGCCTGGTACTAATAAAGTTCCTCTGAGGTCCTTGTGTGTGACACATTCCAATCCTAAGCCCATTCCAATCCTAAGAAACCTGTCAGTTCTTGTGCTTGACTTAACCAGGTGTTTTATCAACCGCTGTTTTCTTTTTATCATGAAAACCTAATGGTGTTTTATGTAGAGACATACTTTGAGATGCTTCTCAAGAGCATGGCGAGGAATAATCCTTGTGGGACTTGGCAAAGTCAAGGTCATGACCACTAATTGGTGGTAACCTTCTTTGGAGAAATACAAATGTAAGGGCAAACTCAGGTTCCAACAGCAGATCTCCATGCTGTGCTGGGCTGTGCCATGCCTTTTGTGAACAGTTTCATCTACATGGTTCTGATTTCTTCCACTCTTTGTTGCTTTTTTGGCATTGAGTACATCTCCAATGTCGACCATTTCAAGTATATTAAATACTGTCAAAGTCCAATTCGCTGTCACAATGTTAAGAAGAACAGTTGTCACACAATTTACTTTATAATTTGGACACGCACGTACTATACACATCTCTTTCATTATTTCAGGTGCAGTATTGGCACATAGGGATAGAAAAAAAGGGTCACAACAGTAATTTAGAATTTGTTTGTTTCAGCTATCAACTCTAGATTGCTTTTCACATCAGAAGCTCACAGCCTGTTTTATGGCTTGCTATGGAAAATCGAATTGAGCAAAATTAGGGACAGAGACCAATTTTCCCTTGCTCTGAAGATACCTCCAGTTCTGTACAATAAATGTTTTCCATTAGAGGGAAAATGTTGTGCATTAATGCTCCTGAGAAAAAATAATGATTGCCAGTAATGCCATCAGGAAATGATTTTTTAAATGTTTCAGAGTGTAAGCATGAATCAGTGACTAAATGGGAATACAAATTAGTTTGTAGAATTGGAACACTAATGATAAAATCATTTCTTGGAGAAGAAGTTATTCTAGGAGAGTCTGAATTTTGAGTTTTGGGGACATGCACAAGGGACATAGTAGTAGTAAGACATACAAGTCAGAAAGCTTGATTAAAATAACAAAGAGCTGAGCCAAGGCTCAGAAGACTTGGAGTTTTGCTCTGTGGGATAAGACACAAGAAGGTTGAACAATACGTCATCAGCAACTTCAACAGTAGACTAAACACGCTTTGTGCAACCCCGGGCTTCTGGGTCCTTGGCTGTTGGTGTACTGTCGGGTTCCGTTCAGACCTTGGCAGTGATGCCTATGATGAAAGTTATTGTGTTTTCAATGTTAAATAAAAGATCGCTTCAAAATAGTCATGATTTCAAGTGTCTTTTTCTGCAGGATGTAGAAGTATACACTTTTTATTCCAACATTTGGGGAGTAGAGGAAAGAGGATCATGAGTTCAAGCAAGCCTGGACTACGTAGTATGACTCTATCTTAAAAAGCACACATACACAGACACACACACACACACACACATGCACGTGCGTGCACGAAAATAAGTATGAAAATAAACAAAATTTTTATATTCAAAAATATAAAAAAGGCAAAGAATGTGTTAACTAGACTTTTCAAATTCAGAGTCTTTTCTGCTTGTCAGAACCCTGCTCTTTATGATAAGAGACTCTTACTTTTGTTGGTCACAAGAGCAGATGTCAAGTGTAGATTGTAGTTGTGGATGTTGCTAGTCAATTTCCCCCACTCTGTTCAAATATATTGAGAAAACTGAAGACAGGGAAATGGAAAGATAAGACTATTGTATAAACATCAATTTAAATGCAGCTTCAAGTAATGGATTTGACTGCATTATGCACTCCTTTATTATATTTTACCTCTATAACGTTGTTTGTAAAATCACTGAGCCCAAACAGGAATGTACAAATTTCCTGGTTTCTTCCCAATCCTTTGTGACTTGCCCAAGGAGACATTTCATCTCATTGCGTAGACCTGATTTACTTCACAGTTTATGATTCACTTTGTTCATCTTAAATATAATACAATTATGTTTTCTAAACCATTTATAGGCTGGTCATGATAACAGCTAATGATCAAGTCATTTCAAAATGGTAATAGCCATAGAGACAATGGAATACTAAATTCTTCAGTGTTTGTTAGAAAGTCCAGTATTAGGGAGCAGAAGAATATATGAAAACAATAAATGGCAGTGTCAACAGGCAGGTTGTCCCAGATTTAGGGTATCGTTTTGGGGTATGAGTGCCCCATACACCCTTGTCTCTTAAAAACAAGGGTGTAGTCTGTGCTGCATGTCTACAAAAGTGGTACAGCCAACTTGTGACCAGCTCTGACTTTCAAAGCCATGTTAGGAGGCTGGCCTGGACCCACAGCAGCCCTCGCAATGTGCCTATGGAGGGCTTTTCTTTCCTTTTTGAAGTTAAATTTTCAGTGTGTGACCAGTAGCTTAGTTGTGCAGTGGGAAAGACTCAGAACCAAGCTTCTACTTTTCCATTTGCTCCAGCCAGACTTTCGGTTTTCAAATGTGTTTCAGCTTATTTGTTCCTATTTTAGGCTTAATAATCTGCGCTCTGTTCTGTTTCCAGAGATGTGGTGAGATTCAGATTATTTATGTCAAAGGGATCATGTTGCAGTTTGAAATTGTGTCTCATTAGAATAGTGCCTGCCTTTCAGTTCACCCGATTCTGATTCCATTAATATTTCTTGCTTATTAGGAATAAGGAAGATTTATTTTTCTCTTCATCGTATCAGGTCTTTTGATCACAAATGAAATTGGATAATTCATTTTAAGTCTCTAAGAATTCTGCTTTCTGAATGGGCGAGGTTCCATTTGAAGAAATGTACTTTCATTTTTAGATTCTATGAGAGAACCATGTTCTGTGGGGTTAAAAAAAAAAAGATAGAAAAGGGTAGCCAGCTTTCAGAAATACACAATTGCTCTGCAAGACTTCTCTTGGGGTAGAAATGGAGTAATAAAATCGGAAATCACAGAATGGCTTCTATTTCAAAGTCAGACTGCCTGACCTTGCCTGCTTAGTTCAGGTGGAAATGAAGAAGGAACACGGAGAAGGAAATTGAGTTCCCCTTCGGGTGACGCATGACCACACGGCATCCATCTCGGATTGCAGTGTGGGTCAGGCACTTAAGGGCCAAAGGTCCTGGTGGAAATAGTGTTCTGTTGTTTTCATCCTCGTTCCACGCTGTCCTGATTAAAACCCTACTCCCCACTGTAAACGTACACGTGTGCACACACACGTACTCCTG